TGTGACTAATGTTGTCTTATATAAAAAAGAAGACATAACTTCGAATCAACTCTTGATGAGCTTTTTCCTTCTTTGCAGACAAATTACAATACATATAAAGTATTAGATAAGTGAGAGTAAAGCAAGAGAGATTACATACATATAAATATATATGGTAAATGATGTAATACAATTTTAAAGGAAGTGAATTTCAATGTATTGTCTTGATTTAAATGTAGACTAATTATAATTATAATAAGGTATGTATCTTGTTTGATATATTTAACAAGAAAAGTGTACAAATTAATTTATTTAGTTCAACTTATACTTTTGTTTACAATATTATTTTTGTTACAGAAGTTTTATGTGTAACATAGTATCTATGATACATTATTTATTAGAATGGATGACATGAATTCTAATTTTCTGATATTACAACGACATAGAAATTATTTTCTATCTGCCACACTATACTAAAATAATGTGAAAATACCAACATTTATATTACCATAAAGATACTCAATCAACATTATATACTCAGACTAGATCACGTAAAACTGATATATGATTCAAATATATGATCAAATATAGAGAACCAGAGTATCAACAAGACAATACTTTATTCATTACAAGTACAAGCAGACGATACTTACTGAGTCTATTGTAGAAATCAATAGTAATAAAAAAATCACAAATTGAATTGTTAGTAATCTATGTTTGTCAGTTTACTCTTAGTGGCCAATCAAATTTACTTTCACTAGTTACATATCATTCTCTTACAATTCTTTGATGATAAATACTTTCAAATTGTCACATTCATTTGATAGAACTAATAAATAACGAATTTTAATGTTAGTTATTAGATAGTAAGTAAATGAAGACAAATTAATTATTGATCTTATTGGTTAGAGTAGATGTAATACATGATTAGTTATAATATGCCCTTTAGAGTAAAAGAATGTTGTAGACATTTCAAAAACGCTCGGATTAAAATATTTCATATTCACTTATAAAGTTGCTTAGCTATTGATCTTAGCATTTTTTTAAAAGAAATATGGACTTCTTGACCAAAGGCTAATGAAAAGGAAACTGGAATTATTTTTTTGGAAGTATGTGATTGAGAATCAGTTGGAGTAGTTTAAATATGTTCAATACTTGAATAGTTCTAAACGTTTCCTACTCTGTTATCCTATGCCTTCAATTCTTTGTTGTTTGTACGCTTTAGAAGTCTCCTCTTTCGACATTTTTTCTAATGATATCTGTATCTTTTCCTCTTTTTTTGACAATGTCCCCTATAGTCCATTCACTGAGTTGTAGTTTGAGAAGGTAGACTATATTAAGATCTAATTTTTTCATTACTACTCATTTTATATAAAAGCTTTAAAATGAAAATTTAACAGGTTGTAGATTCAGCGCGTATTTAACTGCTGTTTCGTCAGCAATTGGACTATTCCGAACAAAGTTTGTTCCAGATTTGCACACATCCGTTTTCCCACTAAACTTTTAACATGATGTTTAGTCATACTACCCAGTTCTTTGATATAGTATAAGTAATATGTGGTTTAGAACTTGTTACTTGGTGGATAAACGTCAATTCATCATTTCACTCTTTAGATAAGCGTAAACTGAATACACATATTTTGATTTAAAGAACGGTTTGTGCTTACTTTGAAGTTACATTGGATCTAATAAAATTATACATCCAAGTTAATCTTATTTTCTCTGCACTGTTTAGCAACTTTGTATAATGTTGTGATTGAGATAAAAACGCTTTGACTTTTGATAACCTGTTACTCTCACTTAAAATAAACTCACGATATTAATTTACAGTGAAGTATGGAAACATTCAATGATGTGTAACGCGTAAGAAAAAAAGTTTTTAACTATTAATTATTTACATATGGTCCACAATTAAAGGACTGGATTTTGCTAGAAGACTTTTGAGAGCAAGAGAGTTACTTTATCCTACGATAAAACCCTCCAATCATGAATCAAACTCAAGACTTTTAGTCATTATAAATCACAGAGATGAATTAATGGTCGAAAACTCTAAAGGTTAAGTACACTTTATGTGGCCAGGAAGATAGAATTAACCATATCTTCTTGTCTGTTAATGATTGTCTGGCTACGGTTTATACTATAAATCACTATCAAATTGAACAAATTTCACAAAACTTTTATAACACTAATAAACGTGATTTAATTAATCAAATCAAATGTAGATGTTGGAATTTATTCTCAAAGATCTTAAAGAAAATAGTTTATCCCGTCATCTAAATTTTATGATGATTTTCGATTCCATAACAATTTTGTGACTCAAACAATTTTCCTTTAAATTGATATCATGTGTGGTTGAATGTTAGACCACCATTAAAAGCCTGGAAGCACTCGACAGCCATTTTGTCCCAGTCTGGAACTCCTCAGCAGTGCGCACCCACTACTCCCACACAGGACTCGAACCCAGAACCTTCGGCCTCACGCGCGAACACTTAACATTTAGACGGCCAAGCCGGTGATGACCTATTCATGATATCAATCTAAACTCAAATCTCCACAACCCTATACTGACAATCTTCCTTCAAAAATTCAACGAAATAAGAAAAGCCATAATAACATGATGATATAGCTCCACTTATTTTTTCTCAGTTTCTATACTGTTTATTTTTTAACGACTGATGTACGCAATAAATCATTTATATAAAAATTATATTTGAAATAATTGATTTTGATTGTTATCTCGAAGAACAGGCACGTTTGTTGGACGAAACGATGAAATGATTTATATTTCAATCGCTGAGATTATTTCAAATATAGTTTTAACACATAGTATCTTCTCTATACGCGGCCCCTTAATTTCTGTCAAACTACTCGTTCTAATATTGACGAATATTCGTACAAATGAATAATTTATGATAGATTATGAAAAACTCTTTGATTTTCCAACTACCAAGTTTCAACTTTACTGAACTGGCTTTCTTATTTTTTTTACCATGTCTTATGCTAACTCATATCCAACTAATCAGTCTATTAATCCTTTACCTGCTCAATCATACACTCATTGTTCGATCAAAAACTTAACAATCTCCGCAACCCCACACTGATAAATACTATACCAGTCAATTTAGTGCGTTTAATGATAACATGGAAGATGTAAGCATAAAGTGTTTGAATACGTTATCAATGAATGTATGTGTTTGTGTTCATAAATTCGATTATTCTTGAGCTAGATAATGGATGGTTCACATAAAATTTTGATTGTTTTCCGGTCATTACATTTGTATAGGCTTGTTGATATCATCTGTGCAAAGTTATTATTGTTTACTGGTCAATAAATGTCCAGTATTATATTATTTAAGAGGTTATTTTTGATAAAAATCAAACAACGGGTTTTAGCTTCTAATCAGTGAATATATGCACAGTTATGTAGTAATTTTTGCTTGGTTGTTTGAGTCTTCCCATTGATGCTTAGGATTGCAATTGATCAATCTTTTATTGGTATATGTGCATGGATGCGCGTTTCTTCCTGTTGGAGACTCGTCAGCCAGATGTACCTGCATCCCAAACTTGATGTTCACTCTGGGACTCAAACCCAGTAGCGTTAGCGATGGTTTTTAAAGTGAAAGGTACTGGGTTTGAGTCCTCGAGTGAATATCAACTCTGAGGCGAAGGTACATTTGGTTGACGATTCTCCAACAGGAAGAAACGTGCATCTTGGATTTCACTGCTAGTCACCATCCATCCCTGCTTACAATTATGCAATATTTTTAGTTGTCCACAATTATCTAATTGAATGGTGAAAATTACAGTTTTGATTATTTGATTTTCAAAAATATAAATGAAGCAATGTGAACACAAACAACATATTTGTCTGTTTATAACTTATTTTCAATTGGTTCACTTTAATTCTATTGAATGAAGTTGTGAACAAGGAATAATTTTAACACAAGGCAGTAGCCGGAAAAAGTGTTTATCAATACATATATAAGCGTTTATGTAAGAATCACGTAGGAAAATTTCAGTATATACATGGTTAGCTTACGAAATTATACGATCATCTAGAGACATTCTCAAGCTCTGATTAGTTAAAAAAAGAAACAAATCAGTTTGATGGATCATACAATAATCGTTGTGACTTATTCGTTACAAATTGATCTTAGTAACAATTTTTTATAAAGTGATTGAATTTTATGGGGTAAATTATAAAACGTTAGATAATCGAGGAAAATAACCGTAATTACCTCGATCCTGAATTCGTGCTTATTAACGTCCGATAACACCGTTGTCATGCTACTAACCGCTTCTGCCATTCACGGAAGGATAACCATCATTTAAAAATTAAACGACAGTTAAACTATATATTTACTTTTTATGTAGTGGCTATTGAACACTCAACACAAAACTGGTATTTCCTGGTTTGCCGTAAGCATCTTTATTTTCTTCGGTTGTGAGAATGTCCGGGTCTGCTACTGATATGTACACTTCCTATTTGTATGCTTCGACCAGCTGCTTGAGTCGGAAGACCGTGAATAAGTATGAAGCTTATATTGGTTAACTGAATCAAAAATACATGCGAAATTCATTTATGACTATAGATACACTTCTCACAGAAAATAAGGTCACGTTTAATCAACATTGTAGGTATATTCCTTTAGAATGTGAAGCCAAATCTTGATCATTTGCGTGGGCCCGTTAGCAAGTCGACCGACTGTAATGAAAAGTTGTGTAACTATGTCAGTCTTGACCCCAAGAGTTCATTAATAACCTCTCTAACTATGAACATCACTTTCCTCATGATTAAAGGTAAACTTTGCCTGTAACAGTACCGCTTAGCACAAAACCTAGATCCAGAGATCTGTGTCGATTAATTTCAACCACTTAACATCCAAACAAATTTTATGTTCATTTTGCAGTAAATTCGAAGTATTGTCAACTTTTTTTATTCCTCTACATTTTTATATCGTCATTGTCATCATGGTCAAATTTCTAATCCAAATAATTCTTTTTTATTCCTTGAAATTCAGATTTACAAAGAACCAAAAATTCATCATGTAGACGTATTCGATATCGATCAAATTCATTTAATTCATTTGCTTGTCAACAAAGTGAACAAATGGCTGGGACAGTACAATTATTTTATTTGTATGAAGATAAAAATTCAAAGAATATGTACAACCTTGATAATTCAAAAGAAGACGTAAAGAAATCACAAACAGCTGAAAGAATGGTCGATAAAATTCACCTTAGTTTTATAGATCATCCAGTTGGACATGTAAAGGTATGACTGCTACGGATATGTTAAAATTAAATGTTCATAATTTAGTTGGGCTATTCTTAAAGATTGGTTAAATATTGAAATTAAATTTTGTAATAGACTGATATTAGTTGGATCGCTGAATAGCTTGCTTGTTGTAGTTTGTGATACTTTATCATTGCGCACAAATGTTTTTAGGCCGCTCAACCAAACAGTAGTCACGTGCTCACTTGTGACTAGATTTAATGGTTGATATTTTACAATTTTAGTGAAAGGCTGGAACTGGTAGAGTTCAACCATCTATAGAGTAAGAGTTATGACACCGATTTTAATTTTTCTTATCGCGTAACAGTGGTAAAAACAATGTCAAGTCCCTTTTATAAATTTTAACAGAACAATGAGAAGACGGAGTTTATCTAAAAAAATTGTGCATTTGCGCTGTCTCTCAAAATGCATGTGGCAAATACATCACATTTTTTGACAAACTCCGTCTTCTTATTGTTCTGTTGAAAAATAATACAGTCGACATAGTATAATTAAGCTTAAATTTACTTCATAAGTGATTTTTCGTTATTCTAAAAATTTTATGCTCAGTGATACTCGGTACAGAGACAAGCCTACATTTCACCAAGGAATTGCATTGTACTAGGTATCTGGATTCAGTTCGAGCGAATATACTGTGTTAAGAAAATATTAGTTTACAATAAATGCCTGACAATAATTCAGTCAAATAATTTTTCATGAACACTAAATTGTTTAGTATATTTTTTTAAAGTTAATAATTTTACAGTGGTAATAGTCAGAGTTTTTATTGTTTAAACGGAGCAATGTTTACACAATACCGGATCAGATAAGGTATATTTCTGCATATTAAGTTGCCTAACCTAAGTGACTGGATGTCGGGTGAACCATTTCGAAATGCTACGTGTTAAAGATAGTCGGGAAATCGTAAACCTAGGTCTCATGCTGGCCAATACTGACCACCAAGATGTTCATGTCATCTTAAGTGAACTGCTGTTTCTTCGTAGATTCAAACGTGAGCTTCCTAGTATTACAATCTAAGACGTTACCACTGAACTATCCAGGTCATGACAATAATTTTCAGACACCATATATTTATCATAACAATATTAAAAATAAAGAATCAACCATTCGTTTCTTTAATTATTAAGAATCTCCGTAACACATGAATCAAACACAACGTCATAAAGTTTCATAAAAAATATTACCATAAATATCATAGAGGTTAATCGTTTTATCCTTTTTCTTATGTAAATCGGGAAGTCAAAAACGGTCAACTATTACCGATGAAAACTCCATTTACGATTCATATAACTACATACTTTATCAGTGCAAATATTTTATTCTCAACAATTTATTCATAATTGGTTTGTAATTCGTTTCGAATACAGCCGAATAATATTATCACAATTAACGTTTAATTATCATAGGTTATACTGCATAGTTTGGTTGAAAAACCCTTGGAATAGTGATATCGAGTGATTGTCTATTTATTTATCTGCTATTTCAGATAAATTTTTATTTTCACAAGGTGTGTTGGTGAACATTGTAGACATTTTTAATAGTTGAATTCATGAGTCGATCTAACATGGACCATCATTGAGAACCTGGAAGTACTGGATGGCCGTTTCGTCCTAGCATTAATATAATCAATTTTTGAGACACAACTGCTCTTATAAGAGCTAGTGTTATTACCTAGTTACCTAAACAATAATAAGTGAAACAGAATTCGAAGCTGTCACAAAAAAGCATCAAAACTTATATACATTGTATAATTTATAAACTGGTCTAGTCTGTTTTTAGAATTGTTAATTATTGACACTGATTAAGAATAATTGCTTGATTTTTTTGAATGATTTTCAATGGTGATCTAACATTGATCGATCCATGATATGAATTGAAACTTGATAATCTCCACAACCCTATACACTGATGATTGTCATGTGCTGACTGTTGACTAAGTAAGAGAGGTGATTGTTGTAGTTCTAATGAGAGGTGGTTATCAGTGGAGTTGAACTGTATCTAGTGTGATTCATTTACCGAAAGAAGACAGTGTAGGATGTTCGCATGACATGGTTTGTTGTTTGAAGTTAGACATTAGGGGTGTTGAATGCTGGCTCAGTGGTGTAGAGATTAAGCGTTTGCGTGCGAGACTGGCAGTTGTGTGTTCGAATTCTGCGTGGGTGATTGTGTATTCGCACCACTGGTGAGTCGCATACTAGGATGAACTGACCTTCGTGTGTTTTCAGGTTTTCACTGGTGGTCTAATATTAATCGGTTCATAATCTCAATGTAAAAACTATTGACAGTACATATTAATTAAAAAAATTTGTTAGAATTACATGTAGAATAAATAAATACAACCCAAAATTTAACTGTAACATATGTTAATACCAGGTAGTTAAAAGTAAATAAGGTAAGAACTGTTCACTTACTTAACTCTGACAAAATTCCATCAAGACACGGTCATTAGACTATGTAGGATGATTTAGTTAAAAAAATATGAACTACTCTCTCTCACTCTTTATATATATATATATATATATATATATATATATATATATATATATATATATATATATATATATATGGCTTTTGTCTACCAATTTCAAACGTTTGTACCGAAGTATATTACACATAAATTGTCATCATTTACACACATGACTATTTAAAGTATTGTGAGGGTTTTAGTTAGCGTATAGCTTGTCCACTTGATAAATTTACAGGATTTCAATGCGTTTCAATATTGTTGAGATTTCATTGAAATCATCAACCAATCAATGTTCGATTGCCATAGAAAACCTGAAATCACTAGACGGGCAATTTATTTTAGTATAGAACTCCTCAGCAGTGTCTATCCACAACCTCTCATCTGGGAATGAAATCCTGAACATTCGGTCTTGTGCGCGAACGCCTAACCTCTAAACCATTGAGCCAGATTCCAATTATGTTAATGTTTGACCTCAATCAAACCACGTTATTGCGCAGCCATCTTCCATTGTCTTCTGCGGATAACTACCTTCACCTAACACAGAGTGCGGGGTTGTTGATGCACATGAATGAGGGTTCTCGTACTAGGATGAAATACCCGTCTAGTGCTTCCAGATTTTAAATGATGATCCTACATTGGTCGGTTCATAGTTTCAAAGGAACTCAACAATCTTCACAACCCTATACTGATAATTATTCATGCTTATCCAAAAATCTAATGAAAATTTTCATTTAAACAATTAAGAAAGGTTTATTCTAACTGAGGATAAATCAATTGTAGATAAATCTAAGTGATTTTAGTCTTTTTCTTATTACTTATTGATATTGACAGTAAACTTGCAGTAAACAAAGAAATATTGTCAGATGTTTTCTGTTGGTTTAAAATTGTGCAGTGCTTAGTAATTGTGACTATTGAAGTCGGACGATGATTACAGTAACGTTTAAACACTAGGTCAAAATTCAATATCCGATATTCTCCATTCTCAAACAGTTCAGAAAATACAAATCTATAGGAATCTGTATAATATATATCAAAGTAACAATTCTATATGCACTAGTAATAGCTATTCCTGCATCTGAAACGAAAGCCATGGTTTGTTGCAATCAATCTATTGAAGAGAAAAACGGTTTACAATCAACCATGCTTGAAAATAATAATATTATATATTGACTTAATGTAAGTTGAAATATGTGGTAGAATAAATCACAGTTCTGTAATCGAATCTCTTGTGGATGTCAGAAAACCTGAATATTGTATATTTGAGCCCGTATATTTTCTAGCATCTGCAATACTAAGGAATATTAAACTGATGACGTAATATCTAATCATTGCCCTTTAATTTCAAACAGCCATTTCAGTAATATCATTTTATGTTGAAAATTATTTTCATATTATTTTTTTGTCACTCATATGTTTTTTGTTTCAATTGATTCATTGATCATTCTCTAATTCAGATAATGCAAAAATAATAAATTTTCATGAATAGAATGGCCTCCGTTTTTTATCGTATAGTTTATTCAGCATTCTTACCATTTAGTGCCAATCAATCTATGATGTGATAAAATTATAATGATGAAATCTCTATTTCATATTCATTGTTTAACTCGTAAATTCACTGAACACTTTTTGAATGTGTATATTCAATAAAATGAATTTGTCCCAATAGTAAACTAATTCAATTGTGTAGTTGACAGTGTATTGTTGTTTGATGTTGTCGACAACAATATTACTGTGATTATTATTCTTATTATTACCGAATTGTTCATTGTTTAATTTCATATTTAAACAACATAATTTATTCATTGACAGGTACAATGGTATTTATGTCAAGAAGCTGTTGTTGTTGTTATTGTTTAAATGTATGTAAATACATTTCGATTAGGTATAACTTATTTATCGATTATTAGTTGAGACACAACTGCTCTTATAAGAGCTAGTGTTATTACCTAGTTACCTAAACAATAATAAGTGAAACAGAATTCGAAGCTGTCACAAAAAAGCATCAAAACTTATATACATTGTATAATTCATAAACTGGTCTAGTCTGTTTTTAGAATTGTTAATTATTGACACTGATTAAGAATAATTGCTTGATTTTTTTGAATGATTTTCAATGGTGATCTAACATTGATCGATCCATGATATGAATTGAAACTTGATAATCTCCACAACCCTATACACTGATGATTGTCATGTGCTGACTGTTGACTAAGTAAGAGAGGTGATTGTTGTAGTTCTAATGAGAGGTAGTTATCAGTGGAGTTGAACTGTATCTAGTGTGATTCATTTACCGAAAGAAGACAGTGTAGGATGTTCGCATGACATGGTTTGTTGTTTGAAGTTAGACATTAGGGGTGTTGAATGCTGGCTCAGTGGTGTAGAGATTAAGCGTTTGCGTGCGAGACTGGCAGTTGTGTGTTCGAATTCTGCGTGGGTGATTGTGTATTCGCACCACTGGTGAGTCGCATACTAAGATGAACTGACCTTCGTGTGTTTTCAGGTTTTCACTGGTGGTCTAATACTGATCGATTCATGATCTTAATTGACATTTAAATTTTTGTAAACTGTAGTCATCATTGTTGTTTGTTTCAGTTGAGGCAATCTTCATTCTTCTATACAGTTATGTATGAGTTAATCACTGATATACTTTTGAAAGACTTAATAAAATATTTGAGATCGTATTTGGTTGAGAAAGTAGTACAACACTTTTAATTGATGTTTTTTCTATATTGAAGTTGTAGAATGACAAAAAGAAATAGACAAAGTAAATTCCAAATTTAATTTTTCAAATAAGTTATCTTTGATTAACATGTTTAGTTTATTTTTTCGATCTGGCAGGTAATAAACGATCAGTTTTAATTATTTTATCACGTTACTTCTCTCATTTACTCATTATGTAAATATAATTCATTTAAGATGATTTTAAATTGTTGTTGAGATAAGCATTTTCTAGTTATTACTTTTTAGTAGGACATATTTATAATCTTGACAAAATTAATTATCTCTGTTGGATTTGAGCCGGTATTATCCAATTTTCCAGTCTGAAGTTCTACCATTAAGGAATTTATGCCTTAAATGACTACTTACAGAAGTCGAATATTTACATTGACTACTTGTTGAGCAGTAATCAATTTCATATTTGTCTAGTCCTTGAAGCTGCTGAAAATCTGCTGACTGTGTTGCAGTTATTATAACATTATACATAGTTATTTTGCTACTTGATAAAGCAAAAAGATATAAAGACAAATATATACCACGTAGAGTTCCCTCAGAAAATTAGCGTAACTGCGGTACTACCTTTCCACAAGGGACGAGTGAGGTTAGAAAAGGTCGGCCCTAAAAATGTACACCACACCTTATCCCACGGATGTCCTTCTCCGTCGGTAAGGTCTCAACAAGTACGGAGATAGCACAAAAGTTACCCACAAGATGGTCGTGTGTGACCGGTCTTATTCAGTTATCTCTTGGGTACTGCCGTTATGCTCTTGGGTCACTAAGACCAATCCTAACCGAATTTCCTTTTTTATTCACCTCAAGAAGCCTTCCACGTTTTGAGCAACCGGAAACTTCTAACCGCCTTCATACCTCCAACAGCACTCAAGATACTTTCTGTAGAATGTGTTGATTACAGATAAAATGTACACTAAATTTCCTTATTTGCATTATTTTTGGTATTGCTACTAGATAAGAGGCATAAGTATACTTTCAACCCCATTTCATCTTATTTATTTTAACTTATATACATATTTATAACTATCCAGAAAGGACAATTTATCATTCAACATTTTTGTATTCACCTTTTTTCTTCCAAAAAAATAATTTAGGCTCTATAGAAGCAGCTTATCACAATTTCAATCCGTATCATACAGCGTTGCATGCAGCCGATGTACTACAAGCAATGCATTGTTTTATATCACAAAGTCAAGTAAGCAATCAAGAAAAAATTAATAATGAATAGTTTATTTTTTGTGTAGTGATTTATAATATAACATTGTTATTTCAGCGTTTTGTCTAATGATTTGAATATAAAGACAAATTTTTAAAATATTTAAAATATAAATGCTGTTTTTGATGAGATTTTATTTGATTGTAAGATACGATTATTGATAGTACTGTTGTGCATGATTTGTAATAATTAACTAAGCGACAATTATAAAACGTACTTTCTTAACCACGTTGGATGTTAGGTAGTTACTACTCAGTGTTACTGACAGATGATTCAGTAACGCGAATCGAATGAAGTTAGACATATAAACCATTAGATGTTAACTGAATATTCTGGTTTCAATCCCTAGTATGATTATAGATACACACAGATCAGTTGTTCTTTACTGTGATGAAACTATTGTTCAGATTTTTCTAGTTTGTTTAAGATCAGTTCGTGATGTAAACTCTGAAAGTGATTATTTTTTATCATTGAAACGTTTTTCCGTAGATGTTGGCATTGAGTAACAAATTGTACTTCTGTGTCTCATACATTTGGAACCATCCTATGTAAATGAAGGTTGAATTAGTATAATCAATAATCATGCACTTGAGCGTATGTTTTTCCAATTTATCTTCTGTTTGATGAAAAACCCAGTAAACATTATGTGTGGATGATATGTTGGAAACTTGAATTGATTGTTTTTGGTTTAGTTTATATTATAGTAAGCCATCAAGAGAAACTATCGTTATGTGAAACAGTCTCAGTCAGTTATATGTATGAAATATGAAAATATTAATTATCTTAGTAACTTCTTTCTCCTAATGTAGTTTATACTAATGATAGAATATTCATATTCATATTATCTGGATTTGAATAACGAAAGAAGTCTATTGTTTTATTAAAAAACAAAACAGTATTGATAGATGTGAATATCCTAGACTACATTAAAAGTTTGTGTGATTTTTTTCTCAATTTTCTAAGCGTTTAAAACTACATATTTTATTGTAACTAGGCAAATTTTTATATAATTTTGAACAATCTTCCGTTTCCTAGTTAATAATGATTAAAAAAATTTTGTGTGATTCATTTATTTATGTGTTTTATTTATCATTTTAATGTGTATTTTATCTGTTCGTCTTCATTAAAAAGTTATATAGGAATTTGGTGAGATATATTTATCATTTTGGATCTAGATTAATGCTTGTTTCCTTTCTTAAAGTCTAATTAGTACTATTAATCATTTTGATAAAGACTAGAAAAAATGATATTAAAATTCAAGATAAAAAGGAGGACGAAAAGAGAATGTACCGACAACACTGCAACAGATTCTAGACCATAACGTCCAACCACTCCAATCATTGACTACTATAATCGCGTAAACCCAAACCAGGTAGTCTGTACGTACCTACATGGTTTAGTTTAATGACCTATGTCTTTGGTTTCTTCCAGTGTACTCTTACCTCAGTCGATACATGCTTCAAGATAGGAGGTGATTTGGCATGAGGAGCACATTCCTCAATCATTTCAGTCAGTCAAATATCATTACCTTATCAATCGATTTCTGATCTTTACCTGGTCTGTGTTGAACCCCGGAATTGCTCATTCGATGGTTTCATTATATACGAACAATGCTTCAAAATCATCATCATAAAACCACTTAACCATGTACAGAATTTCTTTAAAATACTTTCCGTAATTAAGGACAACCGTGCAAAGTGATTCTATTGTCTGAATTGTTTGTGTTTTCCAGTTTGTATGGTGTTGGATAATCTAGAAGCTTGTTAAAACATTAGGATTGAGAACACTCAATGTTCAGATTTAATAGAGACTTGACTTAGTCAAACTGAATTATTTCCAAAATATGCAGTGTATTTAAATCAAGCGTTAATTAGTATCACATTTTTTGTTTGTTTTTCTTGTTCCGAAATCAATTAAAAGGTCTATCTGCAAACTACCGTTAGAAATATTACTCCTGACGAAATTGTATATTATTATATCGATAATTGTGTAATAATAGAAAGACTAATAAATTATTCATAATAAATAGACCTCACATGTATACTAACACTCAAATTCAGTTTTCTTTCTTAAAAGTTATTTTCTTATACTTCATGAACAATCATTCTCATAAAGTTTTTTTTAATCAAAAAAAAAAAACGTAAATCATTGTTTATTCTATTTTGTTTCATTATAATTTACATTCATGACAGTGTACAATACTTCATACACTAAACAGTAGATTTTAATACACTCAACTAAAAGGACTAATTCCCTTTTTTGTGGATAATATAATGAAAAGTAAAAGCTTTGGTGTAATTCATTTAATAGTCGGACATGTAATAATCAATGTATTTTGTGTTACAATAATATTCAATTATTCAGTTGTTATGTTTCTAGAATAAAAGAGAAATTATTGCTCATGCACTATTATTTATTGCAAATAGTTTAATTATAGATTCTTTTTGCAAAAAGAAAGCAAACGGTACAAAAGTATGATATCATCATATATATTTCCACTTGGTATTGTTTTGCTTGTATCTTCCCATTGAGGTTAAAGACTGCAATTGATCAGTCTATTATTGTCATATGTGCATATTGTGCGTATGCCTTGATATTGCCTTAATTCACAAGCTTTTATAAACAAAGATGGATAGTGGCTAGCAGTAGAATCCAGGACACGCATTTCGTCCTATTTGGGGCTCGTCAGCTGGATGTACCTGAATCTCAGAGTTGATGTTCACTCAGGGACTCCAATTCAGTACCATTCGCTTCAAACGCCATCGCATTATACACTCAGCTACTGAGTTCTGATAGCCACTTGCTTGTGCAATGGGGTGAATTTAAATTCATTTGGTATTGTTTGGCTTGCATCTTCCCATTGAGGTATGCTTCGATATTGTCTTAATTCACAAGCTTTTATAAGCAAAGATGGATATTATCATATATATTTTGTTTATAATTATTGAAATAATAATGTAATATACACGTTACACATAAACACAATGAACTTTAAGGTTGATTTATGTTTTGAAGTGTAAATTTTTTTAAATAAAAGAAGTCATTGGAGTGAATTTATCAAAACAATGGTTTAATAGCAGTTTTTATTGATTAATCTTCAAAAATATGCGGTTATTTTTAAGGGAATTGATCATTATATTTAATATACTTTCATAGAATATGAAAACCATACATTAAAAACATTATTTGTACATCTTTCTTCAGTTGTTTGTTTACATACGTCATGATCCTTCCAGATCTTTCGTTTTTCCAATTGCTCTTTGTTTCCCCTTCTGTTCGTTCTAATTCAATCTTATACTGTCAGGCATTCCACTTCCGTTTGCTGCTACATGCTACTTATATATGTCAGCATAAGTAGCATTCACCACAATATCAACTAAATTTTGTTAGTAGTGAAATATAGACTGAATAACTTGACAGTGTGTTTAAAGAGTTGTTTTTTTATTTGATTTCTGATCCTTGTATTAATTGAATCGTAAATTAGGTCAGGAATACATAATTGCTTACAATCAAATTGTACTGGAGACCCGATCCAATTAAAGTCAAAGTAGTCAGTTTTCTCTTTTATAGCAAAATGCAAAATAATCTCATCTGTTGGTCACTTAATGAGCACGTCTGAAGAGAATACTATCCAATTTTATAGTAGGAATGGTATAACATAATCATAAGGATATTTCAGACGCTTAAACGATTGGAGGTGAGGATCAATAAATAATGACTCTTCTTGGTTCATTTAAAATTAACTTAGATACATTAGTATAAATAAGAACAAACACAGAAATTTTATTGAGTTTTATATATAAAAGATATATAGTAAGGAAATGATAATAATTCATATGAATGAGCTCCTAAACACAATGTATTTATGTTTTATTATTTAAAAAGCTAATTTGTAAACTTTAAAGTATCCAGAAATCATGCCAAATCACTGTGCTAATACACGTACGCAATTCAGTCCCTTCCGTTTCCGAACTCGATTGTTAATCTTATACAAATATATTCTCATTAAATGAGGAGGATAAAGCTTTGAAGGTCACACTGAAATTTACTCACATTCAGTAGTATCTGTCTACATCAATTTTTGTCTCGTCTATGTATCTAAACTATTTACGTTCAATCCTCTAGGAGAATAAAGAAGTAATAAGCTCAACTGATAGATCTTTTTGCACTAACAGTCATTGATCTTCATTTACAACTTCAACGAAATATTGACTGAGGTGTAGCAATCACTACACAGTTAAATAATATATGTATGTAAGAATTCTTGATTAGCTTTTTTTCAGAAAACAATCTGAAATCATCGAAAAATCAAAGTTTCTGACATATTAGGCCACTCAGAAATCAGCCAAATGATAAGTGCACGTGATTGACTAAGAAATGGCTTTCGTTTCTAAACAGTGGGACATACACCAATAATAGATCAATCTTATAAGGTAGTAAACTTCCTTTCTTACTCTTAGACACTTTGGTAGAGTAACCAGTTGGGTTAGTGTATAAGAAGATAGTGTATAGAGACATCACATGATACAACAGTTTCCTATATATTTATTTGCTGTTGTTATTAATTATAAAGATGTTTTATTTATATTATTTGATAGATTTCTAAAAATATATTTATTAACATGCATTTTTCAACATCGCACACACACACACACATATACATGCATACAGAAACACTTGTAATCTATCTACACGCCTATAGATTCAGTTTCAGTAAACTCATTAAAGGAAAAAGAATAAACCTATTTAATACGCTTGACTTAATAAATACATGTCATAGTCTATGTTTAATTCTATGTAAAATTATAAAATTATAGTTGATATAAGAAAAATAAATATAATTTACACTTTATAATGAAATATACTTCCGTCTATATGTACGTGTGTGTGTGTGTGTATTATTGATGTGTTGTTAATTGTGAAATAAAAAAAAGCATATGGACTCATAAATAAAAATAGTTTTATTATATCTTTTTCAA